GGAATTTTGAGAAGCTGGAGGAGACAGGCAGGACAGAAGAAAACTATGGCCCCTAATGGTCTTTGTTAAAGACAAATGTTTATTTAGCAAAAGGTATTTGTTAAATTCTAGGGACTTACATACTTCTATTAGTATTGGTAATGAGCCAGGATTTTTTACATGTGAACTTCCGGTAAAAGTCTTAACTTTAATCACTGTTTTGATTTGGATTGCAGATCTTAGAAAATCATTCTAAAAAAAACAACCCAAACCAAAACAAACACCTGCAAACCATTTGCTGGAGGAAGATAATCCTCCAGGTTTTGAAAAGAAGTAATGATTGCACAGAAAAATTCTGTGTTTGAGAATGATTTCTGTTTATCTAATAGTCTAGGATAAATATAGTGTACTGAATCTTCGCTTTTGTAGCTGTAGTTTCCTTTTTCTTTTTTTATTACAATAAAGCAAATCCGAGTACTTAATAAGTGCTGCTGTTGAGCTTGCAATGTATACAAATATTTTATATTACAGAACTGTATGTTTATAAAGGAGAGTATTTGCTTTATGAAGTAAAGCATAGCATATGGTTGGAACAGGAGTAGCTTCTTAACATAATCTCTCAGTAGAAAGTAGTCATTTGTGGTTCTTAAATAATTCAGGAAACAATAGAAATTATATGCTACTATTGTTCCTCTTATCCAAGACTAGGATCAGTAACATTTGTCTGTATCTTGAGAACACAGGATGTCTGTTCTTGCATAGAAAATGACTTTATTTTGTAGTATAGTATATATTTAGTATAATAGGCAAATATTTGCATAAAAGCTGGCATAGAGTCCTTGTGTGAAACAACATGGGTATTTGGCCGTTGCAGGTGATTATCAACTTTAGTCATTAATACACAGAAATGTTTTATTCACTCATTGGTATCTGTGTTTTATAGGACTTGAAAAAAATGCACATTACCAGTATTAACCACAAGATGGCCACATTTGCATAGGATTTAAAAAAGCTGAACCTTCCATTTCCATCTAGATACCTATATATTGTAAATATACCTTAAGAATTTTTAATGGAATAAAAATGCAAAGAAGACTATAAAGTTATACATTACAACTTAGTGATGATATTACAGTTAAGACATAAGTGGTTTGCTTTTGAGTATTTATGTTCCATTACAATGGAGACATTCATTCTGGAAGAAGCATTCGGAAAGGATTTCATTTCTGAGCTCAGAGAGTTGCTTTCTGAGTACCAACAATTTGATGGTAAGCGATTAGAATGTAAGTTGCCAGTGATTCTAATTACTATTTGAGGTTACTTAACTAGAGCTGGGGGCCCAGGACCATGTCCAGGGGGCTTTTCAGTCTTTTCTAAGACTGAAAAGCCTTGCTTTAGTCTGTTCCAGTGCTTGATCACCTTCACAGTAAAAAGGGTTTTCTGGTGTTCAGATGGAACCTCCTGTGTTTCACTTTGTGCCCATTGTCATTCTCCAGGCTGGAACAGTCCCAGGTGTCTCAGCCTTTCCTCATAGGAGAGATGTTCCAGTCCCTTAATCATCTTTGTGGCCCTTCATGTCCAACCTTGGTGTCCATCCTGTAATGAGTTTGGTCTTCTCCATGAGATCTATGGAAGGGTTACACTTGATATGCCATTGAGTTACACTTCAGTGGCCCATCATGAGTTTTAAGAGTTCGGAACTTCACTGTTGTCTCCATTATGGGCTATTTTTAGGGTTTCTGTGGCTGTGTATTTAATTTATTACTTTTCCTCCTCTCCTCTGTCTCGTATACTAAATAGCCCTTAACCAGATACCTTTACAAAACACGTATCCTTTCATTCCAGATATTATTAAAATTTTGTCAAATTACAATCCCTTTTTTCAAAAGGTAGAGGTTGTAGAAGCGTTGAAAGAAAGAACTTGCTTTAATCATAAGCCAAACATATTGTCCAAATAATTAAATTGATCTAGCTGATGTTTTGAAATGTTTTATCTTTCTTTCCCCTACCTGGAGGGGGAAACCCTAGGTGATGTTGGATGTATCAGAATATTTCTACATTACTGTAAAAAATGTTCAAAGTGCTAGTAAGGGAACAAAAATCTGTGTTTCTTAATGGAAAGCAACTTGTAACCTTAATAGTGGGGTTATAACCAGTCCTACTACTTGGGATACTTGATAATTGACTAGAAGTTTTTATTGGATAAACAAAAACTGTCTCACATTCTTGTATATGACATTCAGCATCTGAGTGCTGAAGAGCTTTCAGATTCTGATCTGGGACTGGGAGACGTTGATGCTCTAAGATCCCAATTAAGTCCATGACAACAATTGTCGTGTTAATGTGGTGTATATTTGAGAAAACGACATTTTTCCTCTACTCTTTTATGCCTGTTTTTTGAAGTGACAGGTAATTTTCTTTGTTAAAGAAGCAGACACTCTTGTCCAAGCTCAACAAATGTGGAGCTCTGCTTTATTGTAGTATATGCTTGACACTGTAGATGCAAAACCCTGAACATACTGGCATATATATATTGATAGTTAGTCTAGCCTTCATTTCTTTGCACTCCAGATTTTTAAGGGATCTCCTAAACAACTGTTTAAAACAAAAAGCAAGTAGCTAGAACTAGAGTTTGTTCACAATTTGTGAAAGAAATTGCCATCATAGTAAAGCTACTGTTCAGCTGAGTGACAAACCTAGTTGTGGTTAACTAGAAATGCTTCTCAGTTGCCTAGTGTTTCTTCAGCTTACTCTGAAAACATTGGTATAACATTGAAAAACTATTAGCACTAATTTATGACAAGTGTAGACTTTCTTTGAAGCAACCCATGAATGTGGCACTGTGGTTTATTCACTACCATAGAAAGAATATTTCTATACAGAAAATCTAGGAGAATTTTTTTTTAATGTGGTTTCTTTACGGTAGTTAACTGATAGAGGAGGGAACTTGTTTTCGTACTATACATTACATTACCCAGTTTTGCTTCTGTTGAAATAAAGGAAAAAGAATTTCTACTTGTATGAGAAACAGAATAGGTCTTTTGTTATCAAAAGAAATAAGGTTCAATGAGCATTTTCTAAAAATAGTGTTGTTCTTATTTATGCTCTTTTCTTCAAACATCCAGCATTGAAGAAAAAAGGTAAGAAAACTTGAAGTAGATGGCAAATAAACAACTTCTCCAGCTCTTGAGAAATCTTCCATCCCAAGTACTGTATTTTCCACAGTTTGACTTGAAGTCATATACAATGCAGGTGTCTTCAAATTTTTAAGTTATTTGAAAGTGTGAAGAATGGGAGAATTATGTAGAAATTTTTGTTTATATTACTGGTTGTCTCAAAATCACAAAACCATTTAAGAAGTGAACTCTGTAGGGTGCTGCTTTTGCTTCTTTTAGTGACTATTCTACTCCTGTTCTTAGTACAATTTCATGCTTTATTGGTATTCCAAAGTATTTTCCTTTATTTTTTTGTTCTCATCCTAAACAAAGTTCCTGTTTCCTCATGTTCTAAATTATCTACTTTCACTGCTTCTAGTCTTTTATTTCTCTTGTCTTCATATATTTTTACCTCTTTGTTATCTGCTCTCATTTTGTGTTCTTCTGGGCAACCTATTCTGTCAGATTATTCATTTTTATTTCTCAGAGGGATCAGAATGGCTGTATTCAGCTATAACCAAAATGTGATGGTTTGGTGTGTGTGGTGTGTTTTTTTTTGTTTTTTTGTGGTTTTTTTTTTGGTTTTTTTTTTTTTTTGTGGTGGGTTTTTTTTTTAATTGGTAACATAAACTGTGGTGTGTGTAGGAGCATATGATGCATTTTTAGGTAACCAACAGGTAATGATGTCCCTTGAGATTGTTATGCTCTGATTGCACCTCTGTTTGAAGAAGCTGTGTTTTTAATTAGTGGTTACAAAGTGGTCATACTTGAAATGTACTCTCGATACAACCAGATAGTCTTCAAAGCTGACTGCTTCTTTCTGTAGAACACTTTGTCAGTGACACCCTGTGGTATGCCATGTGAGATCTTATCCTAAGATGTTGGAAGTGACAACATTTGTGGTTTTGTTTGTTCGTTCCCTGCCCCTCCCCTTCATTCACTACTTTTCTGTAATTGGTATCGCAGAGATGTGTGAAGCATCACAACTCTTTCTCTGAAAAAGCCATTTAAATCATGGTTAGGAATGTATGGTACAGGAGTGGTAGAAATTGAACATGACTGCCTGATCACATTACACTTTCCTTTGCCTGGGGGCATCTGTTAGTGTGTCTAAATATTACAGTGTATTTGCTTCATGGTGTTAACAGTTTTGTCTTTTCTATTTTGCATATATAGCTGGAAGGGCCATGTGTTCTGCAAATACAGAAAATACGTAATGTTGCTGCACCAAAGGATAATGAAGAATCTCAGGCTGCTCCCAGAATGTTACGTTTACAGATGACCGATGGACACACAAGCTGCATGGCCGTAGAATACAGTAGCATGTCAAAAATAAGGTGAGGAAGTTTGAAAAGGAAGTTTTGCTTTGATACTTAAATACCCTAAAATAACTGCTTCATGGTGTTAACAGTTTTGTCTTTTCTATTTTGCATATATAGCTGGAAGGGCCATGTGTTCTGCAAATACAGAAAATACGTAATGTTGCTGCACCAAAGGATAATGAAGAATCTCAGGCTGCTCCCAGAATGTTACGTTTACAGATGACCGATGGACACACAAGCTGCATGGCCGTAGAATACAGTAGCATGTCAAAAATAAGGTGAAGAAGTTTGAAAAGGAAGTTTTGCTTTGATACATAAATACCCTAAAATAATGTGTCGTTAGTAATATGTGGAAGAATTGCTTGACAAAACAGGTTTCCTTTTCGAATTTTGTATATAGAGGAGAACCTGAAATTCAGCTTGCAAAGGTGTATATGAATGCAATTTACAGTACCGTTTACGCTGGAGTCCATAATGGAAGAAAGTGGATTTTTGCAGCCATCTGCTGAGTTGGAGTTGACACAGCATGCAGCATTTTGGGTGTCTGCGAACTTGAGCCAAATTCCCAAGTTTTTAGTAGTAGCAGATCTTTTGTCTAACTTTGGTAGCAGGAA